CTGAGCTACATTCCTTGGTTACCCCTTGGTTTTAAATATATTTTATTTATTTATTGGTGCTGGAGATCGAACTTGGGGCCTTGTGCATGCTAAGCATTTGCTTTACTACTGAGCTATACCCCCAGCTCCAAAAATTTATTTTATTTTTAATCGTCAACTAATAATTGTAAACATTTATGGGGCCCAATGTGACATTTCAATACATGAATATAATGTGTAGTGAGTGATCAGATCAAGGTAACTGTTTTATATATATATATATCACTTCAGACATTTATTATTTATTTGTGTTGAGCACATTAAAATCCTTTCTACTGGTTGTTGTTGTTTTTTAATACTTAAAGGACTTTTATTTAAAAACGTTTTAAAATTATTTTTGAAGCTTTCTGATATTTACATTCATTAATTTAATTTTTACACATTTTATTGGTGCATTATAATTGTATATAATGGTGGTATTTTTTGTTACGTATTCATGCATGATACCTGCACACTATTTAACAATAGAATTTGGCCAATAACTTTATTATTTAGCTTTTAACCTAGAATTCCTGTGAGTTAGTAATGAGAATCTTTTTTTTTTAGCAGCTTCAGATCCTAATAAACTTTTCTAAGTTCTTTGCATATATTCTTGCATGCCATGCTCACAAGAATCCCAAGACACAGACATTATTTATCATCTTCCCTTCATGTTTTAAGATATTGAGGCTTGGGGAGTTTAAGTCTTATCCCAGATCAGACAGGGGGGAAATGGCCCTATCAAGATTTGAACCCAGTTTTCCCTGATTCCACTATATACAGAATTTAGGGAGTTAATGACAATGACCCCTACCCTTTTATCATAAGAATCTCCAAACATAATACGTACACTAGCCACCATGACTCCAATTATCATTTTGTATATTTATTTTATTATATATCCATTTACCTGTTCTGCTCATTCATCAATCTTAATTTTTGATGTATTTTAATATAAACTACAGACATGATTTTACTTATAAACAGTGCAGCATGCATATCATTTAGCAGAGTTAAATGTATGTTCTATGTCTTTTTTTTTCCTGTAGGTACAGATGAACCAGTCTTTACCATTCTGTGAGTTTTCAATAATGCATATCTGTGTGTAATGTAAATCCCTGTTAATACATAGAATGTCACCGTCTCTGCAGGTAGCTCCCTCCTGCCCCTTTCTGGGTGATCCCTCACAGCCTGGAGGGATCCACTCTTCAGATATATTTATATTTTTTAACCAGGCTAGTTTTGCTTCTTCTAGAAATTTATGCACATGGATTTGATACTGGGGATTGAAACCGGAGGTACTTAACCACTGAGTCACATACCTAGCCCTTTTTATTTTTTATTTTGAGACAGGGTCTCATTGAGTTGCTGAGGCTGACTTTGAAGCTGTGATCCTCCTGCCTCAACCTCCCAAGCTGCTTGGATTATAGGCGTGTGCCACCACACCCAGCTATGCACATGGATTCTTAGCAGGTGTACTCTCTTGGGTAAGGTTTCATTCTTTCGGCATAATGATTTGAAATAGTGATTAATTCATGTCGTGTTTGTGTCAGTAGTTTGTTTGTTTTTATTGCTGAGTAGCATTCCACTGTTTGTAATACAGTTTGTCCATTTCCCGTTGCTACACACCCTAAACTGTTTTTAGTTTTTGGATACATATTATAATGCTGTTACAAACATTTTAATACATAACTAATATGTAAATGTGTGTATAAATACATTTTTTCTTTATTTTTATATTTTTTCCATATATATATTTATTTAATGGAAAATAACATAAATGTGTTTATAGGGGAGGGGGAGGAGGAAGGGGATGGTTGTCCTGGCCTCTGGGGATAGCCCATGGCTATCTCCTCTTGGACCTGTTTCTTAGATCCTCACAGAATCTGAGCACCCTGTGGCTGCTCCTTGATTCTTACTGGAAGAGTCTTGACTCCTGACCTTCCTCTGTCAATCTGAAGTCTGGATGGATGGGGTGGTAGAACCCGGACTGGTCCATCTGTTTAGGCTCTTGATGTTCTGGAGGGACATCAGTGAGGGACACAGTAGTGGCTCCCACTGGGCAGTGGGGAAGAAGCTCTCAACATAACTGGGCCACTCATCATGGAGATGATTAAGACCTCACCTTGGGAGAACCCCTGCGAGTCCTTCCAAGCCTGAGGACGTGTCCTGGAGGATGGTCTGGGGCTGATCCCTCTGTTGTTTTTGCTGAAGCTACTGGAACGGAGCGGAGCTCCTTTGCTGGCAAACCTGTAGGGAGAGTCAGGAGCAGGGGCGGACCCACAGATTGCTTCTGTCCAAGTTTAGATCTCAAGATTATATGTTGAATTGATAAAAGAAAGTCTGATTTTCTAAAATAGCTCTTGCTTGATTGGGTGTGGCAGGAAGATTTGACCTGCAGATCCTCGTGCTTGTCCTCCTAACCTCCTGTTTTCAGGTGAGGACAGGCTTATTAATCAGTGCCTTTCCTGCTAGACTCTCAAAACAGGGCTTTTGTTACTTTTAAACTCTTTGCTTATTGATTTTAAAAACCAATTTTACTGGGATATAATGTTCACGCAAAAAATGCATCCATTTTAAGTGTACCTTCTGGCAACTTTTGACACATGGAGACACCTAAATGATAAACACCTCAATCAAGATAGAAAAGTCAGGGCTGGGGATGTGGCTCAAGCGGTAGCGCGCTCGCCTGGCATGCATGCGGCCCGGGTTCAATCCTCAGCACCACATACCAACAAAGATGTTGTGTCCGCCGAGAACTAAAAAATAAATATTAAAAAAAAAAGATAGCAAAGTCAATCTCATAGACCAGTCTCAGCCCCAGAAAGTCACTGATTTGCTTTCTTTCATTATAGATTGGACTTGTCTTTCAAGAGTTTCACACAGTGGTACTATGTTTTATTGTATGGAGTCTTTTGCATCTGGCTTCTTTCACAGCATAATATTTTTATTGGATTTGTTTATATAATTCAGTATCCAAAGTTCATCCCTGTTTATTTTAGGAGAGTGTTCAAATGTGCATATTTCTGTTAATTTGTGAACAGGTAATACAGACACATGCTTCAAGATTTAAAAAGCACCCAAGCCTTTCCCACCTCATTTCTTAACCAGTTTCTCCTCTCAGGCACCCACTATTATAACTTCTTGTGTGTTCTTTTATGCATTTAGAAACAGATGTGTATGTGAGATCCTCCAGTCCTTTAGAAACTATGTCTAATTTTGGATGTGTGTGAGTACAATTTTAGAAGTGCCATTGCTGGATTAAAGGGCTGGGATACCGCTCTGCCCAGCTCAGGTCAGGAACTGAGGAAATGCTCTGAACAGAAACATCATTAATCCCAAGCCCCACCCATCACCTGTCAACAAGCAATTGCCGCAAGTCCCTAGGCTATGGGACTGAAAGCAGGTTAACTTGAGATTCTGCCAAATTGCCCTTTGTAATATAGGCCTCCCAAAATGAAAAAAAAAATTTTGGGGAAAAATTTTGAATATCAAAAAACCCTGAAAGAACACTATAATGAGCACTTGCATTGTATAGACTTGATGGTGACCAAAGTCAACTGGTTTGAAGAGGACAGAGATATCAAGTCTGAAGAAAAAAGCAAACCAGCAAGATTGTCACTTTGCCCACAGTGGCTTCACGCCTTATGAACTCTAAGGGAACCTGCTTCCAGTCCCACAGCCTTTGGATCTGTTGCAGGTGCTTGCTGATAGGGGACAAGTTGAGTCTTGGAGTTTATGATGTTTCCATTCAGAGCAGTTTGTAGGTTCCTGACCCAAGCTGGGTGTGGGTCTGGCTCCCAGGAGCCTTGACACTAGCACAGGTAACGGCCTGTCTGACCTGAGCAGTGGTCTATGTGAGTGTATGGTTCTTACATAGCATTAACATTACTACTTGTATTTGCAGATTTCTCTGATTTGTCAATGTCCACCCCTCCTCCTCACCTCTAGCAACATCATGCAGGCAGGGATCACATCTGTTGAGTGCACCATTCTGTTCTAACAGAGGTTGGCCCTTGGTGGGAGCAGCTAAACATCTGTGTAACACATGAGGCACTCTCATAACATAAGTGTGTAGTTTGTAGTTAGAACTGGGAACAAATTCTATTTATGTCTGATGGCTTATTTAACCTCTCTGGGCTGCTTTTATCTGAAAAACAGGTATAACAACGTCACTATCACCTTCTGGAGCTGTCAGGCATCTTTGGAAGGTGCCAAGTGGAGAGGTGGAGAGCAGGTGCCTGAGCCTGGCAACTATCACAGACTCATCTTAGATGTGAAGTGGCTGAACACACTTGATCACGGGCAGCCTGTTGTCCTGGTGACCAACGACAGCTGGCCTCACTCTTTGGGGTCAGGCTGGGCTGGAGGTGAGGGCCCAGTGTCCTCCTGCCCCAGGAGGTGAGGGTGATGCTGGAGCTGGGCGTTGAGGAGGTCACCGTGCCATTTGACAGCTGCCACCAAGACCTTGGGTCGGGGGACAGCTCTAGGGCACCTCAGCTGCTGGTCTCTCCTGGGCAGCAGAGGCAAGCTGTGGGGAGCCATGGGAACAGGGGAGGGTGGGGAGCCAGGTGGTCCTAGGAAGCAGCAGCCTGGCTGGCAGGAGGGAAGGGGACTGAGGAGAATGTCAGGGCTCTGGAGGGGATAGAGTTTCGGCTGCCTCCAGCTGCCCCTAAGCCGCCTCTGCTGTTTTCCAGAGGGACCCAATTACCACCCTCTTGTGGAGCCAGGGCCACTGGAGATCTCGAGGAGATAGGAGGCAGAGCAGCGGGGGGCCTTTGAAGCTCCCCTAACCATACACCTGTTTCTGGTCATCTGAGATTTGAGGCCTTGCTCGGGGAAAACATTAGAACTTCTGATCATAGTCCCTCAAGACTCCAGGGAACCTCAGGCTTTTGAATTACTCTCCTAAGTGCTCTTCATCACCAGCTTGTGAGCTGCCTGGTCAAGGTTTGATGGCTTGTTGGCACAGACAGTGACCCTGATGTCCAGGGAGGAAAGCCAGTTGGCTGTAGTTGCCTGGTTAGTAAATGATCCAGGACTTCTGTATCCACAGCGCCTCTTCCTGTGCCGCTCGATCAGCCAGTCAGTGCACAGCTAGGCTCTCCAGCTTGCCATAGGCCCCACCATGCCCTATTGTGTCCCATCAAGCCTTTATCCCTCATTTACGTGAACTGCCTGGCCCTTGAAAATGTTTGAGTAGCAACCTCTGCCCAGAGTGCCAGCCATGCCTAGCTTTGTCCTGGGTACTATGCAGGTACAGGGGAGGGTGGAGTGTTCTCTGCTCCCCAGAAGCGAATGGCCAGACATATCCTCCAAAAGAGCAGTCTGCAGTGCCGGGTGCACCTTTGAGAGGCCGTGAGATGCCTGGCCTGAGGGTGCTAAGCTGGGCTTTTGGTTGAGGGACCAGAGGACATTCCTGTGGGAGCTTATGATAGAAAGGTTTTTTTCTGCTTCCCAGGAAAAGGAGGAAAGGAGGTCATTGGAGTTTCATGGGATGCAGGGAGGACCTTATTGTGTAGAGGTTAAGGGGCTCGGAATCCATTCGCACCATGAATGTCCACTGAGGACCTGCTAAGTGTCGGAGAACTGCTGGGTACCTGGTGCCCCTTATCTAATTCCATCCTCCTTACGGCCATGAAGGTAGATAGCTCCCCTTTTACAGATGTGCAGATACCTCCCCTTTTACAGATGTGCAGATAACCTCTCCTTTTACAGATGTGCAAGAGTCAGTTTACAGAAGAGGGAGATTGAAGTTAACGACTGGCTTGAGCCCCGTCTGGCTCTGGAGTTCATGCTTTTCCCACACAGAAGACTTCTGAGGAAGAGGGAAGGGTGAGTTGTGGGTTCATCGGGGGACAGATGAGACCTCAGGAGGCACTGGAGGTGGCAGGAACCACACAGACAAAGCCAGGGAGGGAGGATGAGGTGGACTGCACACAGCAGTGAGGGAGGGAGGGGTCTGGTTGATGCAGAACTTCCTGCTCAGGCCCAGCACCTCCCTCAGGGACCATGTTTGGTCCACTCAGTGGCCAAGCAGCCGTCTGACCTGTCTTCCCCAACGTGCTAAACTCGCCTCTAGCTGGCCCTGGCTGTAGACTTCATGCCTTTACCAGGCTCTTTTCTAGGATCCCACCTTGGCTCTTGCTGTCTCCCCTTCCTGTCTGTCATCCTCTATCCTCTCTACCTTTCCAGATTTTGCTCATCCTTTCATTGTCCTGTCCACTGGAAATTTTACCTCCTCCTAGGACCACTCTAGTTTTTGGTTGAGGGTCCCTGGACTCCTTTCCCAATTCTGTCTCATCTCCCTGTTTTTTAAGCTCCTTGTGTTGAAGCATGGGCCACCAATCCCATCCAATCTGCAGCCTCCCAGGCACCGTGAGCAGTGGTGACTGTTGACGAAGCATTTGCCGTGGCTGAGCAGGGGCCAAGCCCTCCATGTGCATTTCCTGATTTGGACCTCACAGCAGCTGTCCAGGCACCATGGAGGCAACTGTTCCCTTCTCAAGGTGGGACAACTAGCTAGAGTGTGGTGGTGCAGTGGTGCACACCTACAATCCCAGTAGCTTGGGAGGCTGAGACAGGAAGATTGCGAGTTCAAAGCCAGCCTCAGCAAAAGCAAGGCCCTAAGCAACTCAGTGAGACCCTGTCTCTACATAAAAATACAAAATAGGGCTGGGGATGTGCTCAGTGGTTGAGTGCCCCTGAGTTCAATCTTGGTTATCTCCCCATCCCCCTGCAAAAAAAGGTGAGACAACTAGAGACTGAGATGAATAGTCTTCCCAGAGGTGGAGTCCACTGTGGCTTGGTCTCACTCCAGAGCCCATGCTGTCTATCCCTCTGCTGGCCTCTAGCATCTGTGAAGCTAGGGCCAGCCCTGGATCTGGACAGGCCCCAGGTGTAAAGGTGACTCCAACATGGTCCCTGCTCTCAGGTACCCACATTAAGAGATGGGAAAGTGGGGAGTGGCTGACTCTTCCCAGATGCCTATTAGCCCACTCCTCCTGCTTTTCTGTGTGTGTGTGTGTGTGTTTTCCCACAAATCCAGCTCTTCCTTTGATCAGTTTCCACTTGGAGAACGAGTTGGGTGACCATAGCTTGCTGGGGTTCTCACCTTCTGGCCCAACTGGGGGGATGAGGGGCATTTGGGGCTCCTTTGCCAACCCCAGCTGATGATAGCTAAGGTTTGTGGCCCCCACTGAGGCCTTCCACCCCCCACCTGCCTAGGTGGGAGGAAGCAGCCTGGAAAGCAGGGGGCAAGGGAGGAATGCAGCGTCCAGCCAGCTCCTGACAGGGCATCTCTGGAGGCCTCTCAGCTTCTCCAGGCCACAGCTCTGCTGGGGAAGCTGGGGATTAGGAGCCTAATTCCACCGAAAATCCTGTTTTTCTTAGGCTCACACAGACTGCTTTTTAGGAAAGGCCCCTAATCAGCCTGAGTCAACAGCTCCATTTATTTGGACACGTGATGGAATGGAACGGGCTGCTGCCGCTGTGTTTTCACACCGCATATCTGGCCCGCCCTTCCAGGATGGCATCAGGATGGAGGTGCCACCTGGACCTGGGAGTCCAGCCCATGGGGGCTCCCACAGAGCCAGGAGGGAGGCCACAGTTCTGCTGGCCAGGCAGGAGTGGCTCTGTCTCTTGAATTTTGAAACATGAAAGTGACCCCCCCCAAGTGTCCACATGGTCAGCTTCCTCTCCCGTTAGTGTTTTTTTTTGAATCAAAATAAAGAAGGATTAGGGATCCTTTGACCAAACTTTCTCGTCTGTTCCCCATCAGAATCAAAGGAGACTTCTGCAAGGGGCTTTTGATGGTGACAGACCCTTTGCCACATCCATTGGTACCCAGGACATGGAGAGAGAGAGAAAAAAAAAACAGTATTTACTATTAAGCATTTGGGGAAGTACTACTTACACTGAGCCCATCATAACACACACACACACACACTCTCTCTCTCTCTCTCTCTCTCTCTCTCTCTCTCTCTCTTTCTCTCTCTCTTTGTGTATTCTCTTTCTCCTGGTATAATGCCATCCTTCTCTGCCTGGTGAAAGTGGGAACCTACCTTCCTGTCTCCTATAATCCATCGCCCCCTTATTCTCTTCCTTCTCCCAACTTTGGTATTTATCTTTCTGTATTTCCATACATTTCTCTAAATATACATTATGTATGATTTTGACTCCCCTCCCAAAAAAAACCCAACCCTTCAAGGAAGGAATTTTTAAAAATATTTATATTTTAGAAGTAGTTGGACACAATACCTTTATTTTATTTATTTATTTTTATGTGGTTGCTGAGGATTGAACCCAGAGCCTCGCATGTGCTAGAGGAGTGCTGTACCATTGTGCCACAATCCCAGTCCCTCAAGGAAGGTATTATTAGGTATCCCCATTTTACAGTTCAGTTTTATGAGGAAACTGAAGCAAAGAGAGACTCAGTAACTTGCCCAGAGTCACACAGTAGGACAGAGTGGAGCTGAGCATGGAATCCAGACTGCAGAGACCAAGGGGCAAACCCTGTCCCTCTGACACCATGCTGACCCCAGCAAGTCCTTGACTTTGGTCTTAATGAAAAAGACCAATGTAATGGGCTTCTCTCCTTCCTTTTACTCATCTCCATATGGTTCTCACTTTCCCCAAGTGGTTCAATCAGGATGGTACTCAATACCTTTGGGCCACAGGGAGCACAGGGACTGGACTTGACCTGGAACATGGCCCACTGTACTTGCTTTACTTAGACCACTTTCTACCTTGGGCACCCCAGAGCCAGATGGAAGTGAGCTCATCAGAGGTGGTGTTGCCATCATTACCCCAGGCCTGGCGGGTCACCAGGCTTCTATGGCCAACCACTGAGCTCTTAACGGAGGGTTCTTTTTTTTTTTTTGTCAAATAAGAGTTTTGGGGACACCCAGCACTCGCAGGAGTCTGAGAAGGCAGCAGTCCTTGTTCACGTGTGTCTGGGAGAGAAGTCCAGTGGGAGGAAGACTGAATGCCTCCCTTTCCATCCTGAGGGTCTTTGACAGGAACTGCTGTGCATGTGTAAAATACTAAAATTAACTCTTGCAATTGTTATAGGCTGGCGAAGGGGAGGATTGAGAGAGGCGGGAGTCAAAGGCATTGCTAGATGGATTGAAAAAACAAATTCCAGTGCTGGGCCTGGAAGCTTCTTAAAAAGGTAATGGGACCTTTCTTCCTGTTGAACTTTCAAACCCTCTGACCCTCTACTTTCTGCTCTGGAGTTTATCAGGGATACCGGGGGCCAGGAGGATAGCGGGACTAAAGTTACTGGGACAAAGCTGGAAGCAGGTCAGCGCTCCACAGGGGAGTCCCAAGGGCCTGCAGGCAGCCACTGCCACCAAGGACTTCTAAGGCCAAGAAAGGGAAGCCTCAAAACCAAACATCGCTGCACAGTCCCAGGCAAATGTGTTCCTCATCAAGGCAGATACAAACAAAGTTTATTAAAAAGCCTTCCAAAGGGACATTCCAAATCACCAGCAGGCCTCCTTGAGGTGACTGTCCATTCTCCTGTGGACTCTTATTCCAGCCTTGTTGGAGCTTTTCAAACACCGAGTCACCAAAGTGTCCAGGAAGGAAAATAAACAGGCAGCTCAGGGTGACCCTGCTCTCAGTGCAAGCCTGCACCTCTGACACCGCAGCCGGGAGGTTGCAAGGAATGACCCAGGGACCAAACACAAACAGGGCAGGGAGGTCTCTTGGCCTGGGGGGTTTGTGCCCCAGCTTCTTTGTGCCCTAATGAGAGCCCACCAGGCAGAGGAAGGGCCCCTGTGGTTGCAAAACTGGTGTCTTGATATAGTAGAGTGAGCTTTGGACTAGAAAAATCCTGTCTTCTGCATTCTGGGAGGAACAGAGGGCCTTGCCTCAGACTAACTGGAAACGCTCTCATCTGTAAAACTGGTGATTTCCTCAGGATCTGGGGGGTGGGTTGCTCTGGCTAGCAGAGGGATTGGGTATCTCAGACTGGCCCATGTGTTTCCCAGAGCATGCTGGGGTACCCTGTGGATCCCTAGGATCTTGAAGAGCACAGTGTAACACTGTCTTCTTGGGGTTTCAACTAAGATTTTGATTTTAAAATAATCTGAGTATCCAAGTGGACCAGTGAGCTAATACAAAGGCAGAAAGTGTTCTGCCTTTAGAGTCAAAGAGGCCTGGGTTGCCGTGGCCTCTTCTGTCACCGTGGGCATCTTCCTGGCCTGAAATCCTAGGTGGCTATGATGACTGTCTCACACTATTGGTGTTAGCATCTGTGTTAAAGCCTAAGTTGTTAGCAGACCTTGACCCGTACACTGTGCTTAATAAGTTGTAGCTACTGTTACTTTTATTGTTGAACTTGTCCTCTGCACCAGTCCAGGGAGGCATAGGGATGTTCAAAAAATAAAGAAGAGAGGAAGGAAAAAAAGAGGGAGCCCTTGGGAGGTAAGAGGACCTTGGGTGCTGATAAAACATTACATCCATAACTGTTTATCCAGAGCTTTCTGTGACCTGGTGTTGCACATGGAGATTACAAGTCCCTCTTGTGATAGTCACACACAACTGCAGGTTAAGGGGAGGGAAATGAAGGCCAGGAAGCTTCAGCAATGGCCCAGGTCCCAAGGCCCGAAAGAGGAGGATCTGAGTCAGAAACTGTCTGATGCCAATATTTGGGCTCTCAGACCCCTTAAGGCCCTCTTCTCAATCCATCCCCTTTTCTCCATCTGCCTCATCCATGCCCAGGGCCCAACTCCAAAATTTCTATTTTTAGCCCAGAAGGCCCCTGGGAACCTCAAACCTACTTGCAAAGTGGCTTACCTGATACTTCCCTTGGATGATGCTGAGACACCCAGGGCTTCACATGCCCAAGACCATACTCATGAACCACCACCACCCCAACCTGGTCCTTCTGGTGAATGGTATCGGGAAGCAAGCTTGATGTCCTTTTCACTCATGCCACGTCCATCACCCTAGCTCTCAGCACCTGTCCTCCTGGTACCATCAAAGACTTGCCCACCTCCATTGCCACCACTCTAGCTAATTTATTCTTTTTATTTTTTGGTAGTTTATTCTTGCTTACATGACTATTTGATTGGTGTCTGCCTCCCCCAATAGCTTCTACTCTGTGTAACGGCAGGGATTAACTTTTATTTTTAATTTTTGTATTTTCAGCAAAATACAAATATTTCCTGGTCCTCAGGAAATATTTGTTGACTCTCTGAGTAGCTAACTTTGTTTAAAACTTTTTATCCATTTTGAGTACTATTGATATGATACAATGACTGTCCCTTATAGGCTGCTGCTTTCTAAGCTGAAATCCAGAGTTGTGTGCTCCAGTGACTGTGCATTCCATGAGGTCTGGGGGCACACAGGTCTTGCCTACGGAGGCTGGACAAAGGATTTGAGAAACACTGGGATGAGACCCAGCCACAGCACAGGACAGGCGAACGCACACACATTTATACCCATTCTTGGTCAGTTCTCACCTGCTTACTTGGCAGATATTATCTTTACTTGGAGACTCAATTGAGAACTCCATCCCTCACTCCTTCTCCTATAATGTAACTAATACAAAGAAAAACTATTTTGTTGTTGTCTGGTTTTCAGCTAAAAGGAGTGTCAAAATAGCAATTTTATCAGCAGCCCTTTGAAAATGTTTCTCTTGATTGTAGCAATTCACAAGGAGAGACAGGATGAGTCCAATCCCATTCGTGTGTGTATGTGTGTGTGTGTAGCGAGATTGAACTCAGGGGTACTCAACCACTGAGCCACATCCCCAGCCCTATTTTGTATTTTATTTAGAGCAGAGTCTCATTGAGTTGCTTAGCTCCTCGCTGTTGCTGAGGCTGGCTTTGAACTCGCAATCCTCCTGCCTCAGCCTCCCAAACCGCTGGGATTACAGGCATGCACCACTGCACCTGGCTACCCTTGTTCTTGATATGGGCTGTTGCCTGAGGTGACAGATTGTGTTACCTCTGGACCAGGGCATTCATAGGTAGCTGGTAAGATCAAGTCAATGTCACATCATGCTGCCCCTGTCATCAGGACATTGCCCAGTTCTCCCTTATCACCTGTTCTGGTGAAAAGCAGCTAAAATGGTGAGAAGACTTGGCCTTCCCATTCCCCACCCTCACCTGCCTGGGCCTTCATGGGAGCTTAGGATTTCCTTGGTGGGGGGCAAAGATATGAGGAGGAAATTGTTGTAAATGAAGTACTGGGGTCAGAGAGACTAAGCTTACTTCCTAGATCCACTACTGGGCTGAGAACTTAATGCAATATTAAGGAGCCTCAGTTTTCTCACCTGTAACATGGGAATCATAATAGTAGTTCTGTTACTTGCATAAGGTTTTGTGAGGTGGATTCAGTGAGGTAATACATATAGAGCTCTAAGCACAGTGCCTAGCAACAGGAGATGCACACTATAATACCAGCTTATGGAATGAAAGGAGGGTGGAAATGTCCCTGCTCCTGGATCTGGGCTCTGGGGAGACGTTGGCAGACACTGGGTGTAAGTTCTCATGCCTTCCTAGTTCTCCACTCCTTTGGATCCAACTGTGCGAAATACAGACTGCTACCCTTTACTGCCATATTCCTAAATAGAACCTGGATTCAAAACCCCAGGTATTGTGCAGATTAAATCAGAACACCTAACATAGGTCACAATGTCACTCACCTTATTTGCATATGTATCATAAATCACAGTTAATTTTGTTGTGTCTTTTCCTAACCATTTTAAAAAAGTATATTCTTTGGGGCTCTTAATCCACCAGAGAGTCATTTAAAAGTGGGGGTGGTGGTCATAAATTATTCCTGGGCACCACATAGTAAACAAGAGCAGGAGGCCACACTCTTAGGCTCATCCCCAGTGAGGACAGGAAAGCTGTTGCAGCCTCAGCATCAGCTGTGAAGAGGTTCTGGTGTCCAGCTGGTCCCAGGGCCGCTGGTGTGACCATCACTGGGGGGATTCCAGCTGCCTGAGAAGCCCAGGCTAGGCCTGACTTAGAGGAGCTCTGCCCGTGTGTGGCTACTTCTTAGGCTGCCATCTTGTGGCAGTTGCTCTGAGGAGTCCTAACTTCTCCAAAGGCATGGCTCCCCTGTGCGATAGGTAGCACTTGCATATCGTGGCACATGGGGCTCTAAGTCCTAACTCAGATCAGTGAATGAATGAGATGATCTTTGGATGGGGCCTCCTCCAAGTGGGATGCTCAGGCCAGCAGTGTTGGCCGATGTCCTGGTGATATGTCTGGGGCAGTGTGGTGTCAGGGCCTTGGAAAAGGCTGCTGTTTATGGAGGGCTTGCCGTGTGCCCAATGAGGCCATGACCTTCTCATAGATTAATCCATCTAATCCTAACAACTATCTGAGCTGGGCCCTGCTATTGCCCCATTTTGTAGGTGAAGAAACCAAGGGATGGAGAGATTGAGGCACATACCCAAGCTGGGGAGCTACTATGTGGTAGAGCTGGGACTCGGGGTCCTTCTGACCGTAAGGCCCATGGCTAAACCCCCATTTACAGCCCTGGGGGACTGTGGAGCCACAAGGACCTGGGAGCCTGTCCTGGCTTAACCACTTGGGTTACTGGAGCTTGACCACCATTTCCCCATATGCAAAATGGAGCTGCCTCCCAAGGTCATTGCAAAGACCAAGTGAGATCATCACTGCCTGCAGGACAGTGTCTGGCACAGGTGAGGGCTCAGTAATATGCATTTCATCCCCATCTCACCTGGTTTAGGAGGGGGGAATAAATGAGAGCAGCCACAGCCTCCTCCCCTTCCCTTGGGCTCCACTGAACCTTCTATACTAACATCAGGAGGTCCTTGGCCCCTGGCAGTAGGATGCACTTCTCAGTCAATCATCTCGACTGCCTGGGAAAGGCTTATACTCCTGAGTAGAATTTAGACCTTGATTCTAGTCCCAACTCAACTCTGAGACTTGGCTGACTTCTGTCTCTCTGAGCCTCAGTTTCCTCATCAGTAAATTGGTCTGTGTATAGAACTAATGGGCATATGTGGTACATGTGCAGCCGCTTCCCGCTTCTGCACCCACCGTAGACCGTGATTAATCAGTTGCAGCATCTTCGTCAGTGATCCTGAATGTGGCTACAGAGCCCTCCCCCACACATGGAGGCAATCACTGTCAACTGCTTAGAGTTGAAATGCCAATTAGAACCTCTTGGATATTCTTGGAACCATTAGTTGTTCAAGAACACTCTTAGCTCTGCCATTCTGGCTCTAATACCAGAGTCTTCTGTGCCCTTCAGGTAGAGCAAAGAGCATGGGTCTGTAATGAGGGGGAGTTGATCCTAGCACATCAAGCAGCTGTGTGACTTTGGACAGGTTACCTACACTCTCTGAGCCCTATTGGTTAGTTTGTAAAAAGAAAGTCCTACCACATGCTCTTTCTGGGGGCATTGTTGTGAAACTAAAATCACTATAATTTTCTGGCAGGCAGGATCTGGCCTCCTATCAAGACTTCACTCTCTGTGCTTAGAATAGCTCCAGATCAGACCCTCCTTGGATTTTGGTTGAATTGAAGCACAGTTAGAAAATTAAATCTGTATAAATGGAAGGAGATATAACCCAGTGTGATACATCTCTGGAGAAGGGATTCTTTATGTATGCAGCACAGGGCTGGTCAGAGGAGACCTGGCAGCTTCACTCCAGGGAGCAGATCCAGGATGGCTGGCGGGGAGAACCCAGGAATCCCCAACTTTAGGAAGCTCTTTGAAGAATTCTGCTGTAGATGATCTGGCATCCAGTCCGTGGGAAACCTGGCTGCAGGGTCGGGAGGCTGTAAGTGGAGGTCCACATAGACAGAGGCCCCTGTGTGTTGCTGATTGCTCTCCAGGAGTTGGGCCCAGCAGCATTTTGGAGCCTCTGTATCAGGGAGGGAGTCATAGGGAGGGTTGATTGTGCCTTCTGCTCTGTGCCTGGTGAGCTGCCCGAGATCCCAGTCCTCAGGTGACCCATACTCTTAGATTTCTATGCTTTTGACTTGTGAGGCCCAGCTCAGAAAGCAGCCAGGGCAGGGCACACCACCTTGTGCCCCAGGTCGAATGGCAGTGTTGGGACTAGGGTGCCCATGCTGCTCATCCTATGTCCTCTCCCCAGCTCCAACCCTGAGATTCACACCAGGATGTTTGAGGAGGGGCAGCCATGAATAGACTGAGGTAGTGGTTGTTGGTGTGTGTGTGTGGGGTGGGGGGGTGGGGGTGGGGCAGGAGAGATATTAAGATTTCTGATGATTCAACTGTCTACATACTGCTCAAAACAACTGAGTAGAAAATGAAAAACAAATGTAATATTTAGTTTTGTTTTTTTTCCCCCTCTGCATGTTGGGAAACACGGAGATCTTTTCAGTCACCCATGTGTTAGATGGGCATTGAAATGTTTCACCTTAGGCTTTTTTTGATATCGGGGTTTGAACTCGGGGTGCTTAACCACAGAGCCACATCCCCAGTTCTTTTTATTTATTTATTTATTTTTATTTTGAGACAGGGTCTTGCTGAGTTGCTTAGGGCCTCACTAAGTTGCTGAGGCTGGCTTTGAACTTCTAATCCTCCTGCCTCAACCTCCTGAGCAGCTGGGATTACAGAAGTGCACCACCATGTCTGGCCTTACCTTAGGTTTTGATGTTTGATAACACAGCTGGTGACCACTGATGAAGGCCATGTTTGGATGGCATTTTCTTTCTTTTTTTTTTTTTAAATTTTTTAGTTGTAGATGGACACAATATCTTTATTTTTATTTATTTATTTTTTTACTTGGTGCTGAGGATTGAACCCAGAGCCTCACATGTGCAAAGCAAGCGCTCTACCACTGAGCTACAACCCCAGCACTTGGATGGTATTTTCATCCAGTTAGTGTTATCGTCATTGTCATCCATTAGCATCATCCAGGCTGAGTTCATGAGCTGTTGAGAGAGAGTTGGATTTTGAATTCACAGTGAAAATTCAAAATAAATCCAAATTTAACAAAAACCAGGGTTCTTTTTTTTCTCCCTTTCATCCCAGGGCCTTTCCCCCATAGCCAACAAGTTCTGTCAAACTCACTGGCTTCTTAGGAGGATTAAATGAGTTAATATGTGAAATGTGCTTACAAGAGTGCTGTAAATTTTTTTTTTATATAAAATAAAGTTCATTCTTTACTACTGCTACTGCTGCTGCTGCTGCTGCTGCTGCTGCTGTTGCTGCTGCTACAATCCTGACAACAAAATTCCAACTGGAGAAACGCCCTAGGTTATCCCAAGATCCTGGAGCATTATATGTTCTATAGGCATTAAAATTCCAGCCAGCTGAATGCTTGTGCTTTATAAGAGGAGACACTTAGCCCCTGTGGGGAGGCATGTGGACTTCCCCATCTTCAGAAACAGAGTTTGACAGGGCACAGCCTGATATTCCCCTGGTTATGAGACCACTCCATGGTCCACAGCCAGGGCTTCCTTATTATTATTATTATTTTTGTTTGTTTTGTAGTACTGGGGATGGAACCCAGGAGCACTTTACCATAGAGCTACATCCCCAGCCTTTTTTTTTTTTTGAGATAGTGTCTCACTCACTAAGTTGCCAAGGCTGGACTCCAACTTTTGATCTTCTGCCTCAGCTGGGATTACAGTTGTGTGCCATGATGCCCAAATGAAGTTTTTTTATTTGTTTGTTTGTTTTTTTGGTACCAGGGATGCTTAACCACTGAGCAACATCCTCAGCTCTTTTTTTTTTTAAGAGAGAGTGAGAGAGGGAGAGAGAGAGAGAGAGAATTTTTTTTAATATTTATTTTTCAGTTTTCGGCGGACACAACATCTTTGTTTGTATGTGGTGCTGAGGATCGAACCCGGGCCGCAAGCATGCCAGGTGAGCGCGCTACCGCTTGAGCCACATCCCCAGGCCCCCAGCTCTTTTTTTATACTTTATTAGAGACAGGGTCTCACTGAGTTGCTTAGGGCCTCGCTGAGTTGCTGAGGCTAACTTTGAACTTGTGATCCTCCTGCCTCAGCCTCTGGAGCCACTGGGATTATAGGCATGCACCACTGAGCCTGGTTGGAGTTCTTTTTTTTAAGAGTTTTCCTTCTCCAATCAGATGGTTAACTATCTCTGCTCCAGAGATTCTTTTGTACTTTACCTTCTAAATTGCTGCACCAAATCCATCAGCAAATCCCATCACCAAATCTCGGCACATACGAGACACTGTTAAACCTGTATAGAAAATAGGAGTAAATACATCCATGCCAGAAGACTACCTTTGCTTAGTCCTAGGCTGTTAGTGATGCTCTGGAGATTCAAGATTGTTGGGCAGATGCCTTCCATAGAAGTGGATATTCTCTGGACATTGCATTCCGGGGGGGATGTGGAAGACCCTCCTGTGCTCAGCCATTCCTGCTTCATACCCAGCCTGTCAGCTCTCCATTAGTCTCCCTTTGGTCTCCTGCTGCCCTGGCCCATGCAGCCTGTCTCACAAGTGAAACCAGATGGCCAGGGTGGGCAGCAAGAGAGACCCACAAAAAGACAAGGAAAACTGAGCTCCTGGACCCACCCTCTGTCCCCAACTGCTTCTGAATCAGATCATCCATGAACAAACCCCAAATTCCTTTTATCTCCCAATCACCAAGAATCCGATCCTTTATTTAGTCCTGAAACTCGGAAACTAATCTTTTATTTATCTCTACTATAATCCCACTTCAGGCTGTGTATGGAATACACCACTTGGGAACAGACTCTAGGATTTCAGAAGGACCCTCAGCCGTGGAAGCACAAGGGCTTATGAGGAAAAGTAAAACCAGGCTCAGGATGTTTTGGTTCCATGTGCGAACTGGAGGAAGAATGCGGCTCGTCTGAGCTCCTGTGCTGGAGAATGAGCCACAGGCAAGCTCCCTAATCACCAAACCACAGTAGAGGGTGGGAAAATGGGGGTTGGCGTGATGTTGGGCAGGGCAACAATTTCCCCGACTTCCTTGAATGCCAGCTTGGCCATCTATCCAGGGCAAAGAATTGTTGATGAAGAATCATTGCTGCTTAGAGTATGGGTGTTTCATTCTTTGGGGGATCAGAGCCCAAACTATATGGTCAATGTGGCCAGTGGGTACCAGGTAACACGCTCTGGCTACCTCTGCCATACCCACCCATCCTCAGCAGATGGACTCCTGGTGAAAGGAACACCTTGCCTCTGGAGGGCTTCCAGAATATCACCTCTGTTTTCTTCCACTATGTTTAATGAATTGCTCCTGAGTGTCTACTGTGTCAGGTCCAGGGCTGGTGCTGGCCATTCAGTAGTGAGCAGAGACTGTCCCTGCCCTTGTAGAGGTCATAGATCCAGTGGAGAAAATAACCAGATGCTAAATAAACATGTAACTAAAACTCTGGTGGGAGGAGGGGAAGGATGGCATGGGGCTGTAGGAGTTATGGTTTGGAAGTGAGGTGTCCCCAAAAGCTCATGTGTGAGACAATGCTTCTGGGCTTCAGCTTCATCCTGGGAGGTCTTCTTCATTTGACAGGTGGGGATAATGAGGTCCAAGAGGAGGAGGGATTTTCTCATTGTCACACAGCTTGGGAAACATGATGGCTGGTTATTCCCATTGTCCAGAGTCTCTGGGCCTGGGCCTTTTTCCTCTCTGTAAAGGCTTTTACAAAAGCTTACAGCAGTTCTCTCCTCTGAGTAGGGGGCTAAGGCCCTCCTCTCTGTCACTCAGTATTGCCTGATGGTCTCCGGGAGGGATTTGCAGGGAGTCCCAGTGCCTTTCCACCCTTAGGCAGAGGTGCCTGGCTGGAGTGTGTGTGGGGCTTCAGGGAACTGTCTTTGGGTTGGGTCTCTCTAGGCTGCTTTCTTTTTGGGCCCAAAGAGACACAGAGTTTGTTAATTCACTCAGGGTGGCAAAAAATGTTCGAGACTAGGTGGCTTATAAACAAGTTCACAGTTCTGAAGGCTGGGAAGTCTGAGATCAAAACTCCAAGCAATTCTATGCCTGGGGAGAGCCTGTTTCCTGCTTCCTAGGTGGCTTCTCACTCCATCCTCACATGGCAGAAGCAGCACTCAGGGTCTTCTTCTATAAGGGACTAGACACATTCCTGAGAGTGCCATACCATGATCTAGTCACCTCCCAAGGGCCCTTCTCCCTGTTTCCAACACATATTGTCAGGTTTTTAGCGTATGAATTTGGAGGGATATAAACATTTGGTCCATATCACACAGTGAAACTTCACTATTAGAGCTGTGAGATCCAGAGTACCCCAATGTAACATACTATGAGCCTTGGTTTTGTCACCTGCAACATGGAGATAAGAATAGGGCTAGTGGAAGCTTGAATGAAATCATGTTTGAGAAGGGCCTGGTACATAACAGGTGCCCAGCATCAATTGCTTTCTTGAAGTTCCCCGTTCGGTCCTGGTCCATGTAGTCATCATGGCCAGTGGTCAAAGGCATGGTAGCTTCTGGGGTTCTGTGTTTACAGGCCTGGGAATAAGGGTGGGTCAGGATTAGCTGGTGGGCTAACAAGGCCTCTGGAGAAATAGGTCTTCTCCCTCCCACCTCAGTTCCGTTAAACAGGTTGGCGAAGGAGGAGGTGGGCTTATGGGGCCACAGGCTAGTAAGCCATAATCTTCTGGAGCCTTTGCTAGTTTGATAGGAAGAGGAAGAAGGCTGCAGTAAGTGTCGGAAGCCCCTTCTAATGAGCATGATGGATGCAGGACGCAGTTCCTCAGTCCCAACTGCACTGGGATTGGGCTTCTGTCTCCATGATGCCCAGCAGGCAGGGCTTTGAGCCTATGATGGCATTGGGGTTCAGACCTTGGCTCAAGGAATGGATTAAAGGAACCTGGCTTAGAACAGAGCTCTGGGGGGCTCCCAGCGCTACACAAAATGAAATAAAACAACCCCCCAAACAACAAAACAGAACAGAAACAGTTCTTGTCCCAGCCAGGTCTGTATGGGAAAAGGGGGACAAATGATTGCCTGGCTGGATTTCTGTGGGTACGCACACCAGCTAATGAAGCTACCTAGAGAAGAATGCTCCCTTATAATGCCCCTTTAAAGCAGAGGAAACTAAGGCACAGAGACCTTGATTGACAACCAGTCTGTTAGCAGAGCTGCTTGGATTAGAATCTGTTTATGACCTCATCTTTTCTTCTTTCCTTCCTTTCTTTCTTTTCTTTTCTTTTCTTTTTTTGTGTGTGAAGAATTTGATTTTATTCTAGAAATACCGAGAAGCCATTAATATAAACTGGAGTGTGAGATAATCTGATTTGTACTTAAAAAGTGTTGGTTTTATTGAGATAATAATTCCTATACCATAAAACTTAATGCATTTTAGTTTATTCAGAGGGTTGGATGACTGTTACCACTGTCTAGTCCCAGAACATTCCCATCATCTCTGAAAGAAGCCCACGCACATTAGCAATCAATTTCTTGTTTCTCCCTCTCCCCAGTCCTGGCTACTGTAATCTACATTCCATAGCTATGTCAATTCTGGACTTTTAATATAGATATAATCACTGTGTGTGTATGTTTGCATATGTGTGTGTGTGTGTGTGTGTATGTGTGTGTGTGTGTATGTGTGGTGTGTGTTGCTGTACTAGGATTTGAACACAGAGCTTTGTACATGTTAGGTAAGCCCTCTACTACTGAGCTAGACCCTCAGCCCCATAAACACATTTTATGTGGGCTTTTGTTTTATTGTTGTTGTTGTTTCTGTATCTGGTTTCTTTAATCAGCATATTTCCAAAGTTCATCCATACTAGAGCATGTATCAGTACTTCATTCACTTTTTCTTGCTTAATAATATTCTGTTCTATGGTTATACCACATTAGGTTTTTCTGTTCATCAGTTGATGGATATTTGGGTTGTTTCCACTTTGGGGCTATTACAAATATTACAAGTATACAGATTTTTTTGAGTGGAGGTATATTTTTATTCCTCTTGGGCATATATCTAGGCATGAAATTGCTGAGTCATGCAATAATCCTGTTTAACATTTTCAGGAACTGCCAAATTGTTTTCTTTATTTCTTTTCTTAAAAATCTTTTTTTATTTTTAACTGACACATAGCAATTGTGCATATTTATGGGATACAATTTGACATTTCAGTAAAAGCATTTAATACATTATGATTAGGTCAGGGTAACTGGCATAGCTATCATTTCAGACATATATAAATTCTTTGTGTTGAAATATGTTCAGCATTTTTTATTTGCTCTTGGTCATTTGTATATCTTCCTTGGGAAACTGTCTATTCAAATCCTTTCCCATTTTTTTAAAATTTATTTTTTGTGTGTGGGGGTGCTGGGGATTGAACCCAGGGCCTTGTGTTTGCGAGGCAAGCACTCTACCAACTGAACTATAACCCCAGTCCACCAAATTGTTTTCTAAAGTGGCCCTACCATTGTACAACTCAACCAGGAATGTGTGAGAGTTCTGCTTTCTCTACATTTTCACCAACACTTATTATTGACTGTCTTTTTGGTTTTAGCCATGCTAGTGGGTATGAAGTGGTATTTTGTATGGTTTAGATTTGCAATTCTGTGATTAGTAATGATGTTGAGCATCTTTGCGTTAGCTTCTTGACCATTCATATGTCTTTAGAGAATTGTCTATTTAAATTCTTTGTCCCCTTTTTGATTGAGTGATTTGTTGGTCTTTTCTGAAGTGTGCTAGTGGATGATTACCTGATCCTGTAGAGCACCAGGGGTTTTCTGTTCAAAGGTCACCACAGGACAGGGACCACTGGCCAGTTTGGTGTTGCCCTCTGGGGCTCTCTAGTACTGGAGAATCTTCAGAACCTCAGGGAATAAGCTAGGGAAATCAATGTGGGGGAGGCCTTGGTTAAAAGCCAGGAGATTTCAGACTAGTCCTGTGACATCTGCGGGTTTTAATCCAGTTGAATGCACCAAGGTGATACCTGTATAATATCCAGGAAAGAGGCAAGTCTTGAAGCTGTGGGCATCAGGGGCAATTGGAAGAAACATCCGGGATGACATTTCAACTCAGGTCTTCCATCCAAGGCTTTCTGGACAGCCCAGCTGACCCTGGAAAGCCACAGTTGTGCAGGTCTTCCATCTGCCACTGGAAGGACAGGTCCTTTGTCCTACACTGCATCCCAGCTGGCATTCCCTGGCCTGGACTTTGGGTCTCTGGTGAGATCCTGGCCATCTTGAGGCTTCAGATCTTTCTTGCCATCACCTCTGCCCAGCTCATAAGGATTCCCTTTTCTGACTTTCTATACATTGACCTTCCCGGTGACCTGTCCCTTTATCTCCTTAGTGGGAGACGGGTATTTATAACACAAAATCATTAGGTTTTCCCCCTCTAAAATCCTAAAATCATCTCTCCATCCCCACTGGTGGCAACAGCTCCACACTCTGCCAAGCACTGTCCCAGCCTTACCCTTTGGCTACCTCCATCTCCTATGGAGCCTTTAACCTATTGGATGATGGAGAGGAGCTTCCTCTTCATATCATCTTCCTCACTGCCCCCTGTCCTGCTCCAAGTCCTACCCTCCACCCTTGTGTACCCCAAGTCAGATTATTAGGTCAGTCTTTACAAAGTTATTGTTGAAGTATATTGCAAATCAGAAAGAACAAACCTAACAGAAGGCAGAGAAATAAGTGATTAAAATATCAGAGCTTAGGCTGGAGCGTCACCCTGTCATAAGTCTACAAATATCCCTGAAGACTGTGTTTTGGATCCATGAGTTGATAAGACAGACCACATTCAGTTTACCCCATTTTTGTGCCAAATCCCCAAATATCCAGCAAAGGAAGGTAAATTTCCTTGTCTTCTTCTGAGGATATTCCAGAAAAAATCCAGTGTCTATCTAAAGAACTGGCAGGATCCAGCTGCTTTCTGAATGTGATGTGTCAGATATTTGATTGCTGGAGAGCTACAGATTTCTCAGGATCCAGGTGTTTCTTCCTTAGTAGAACCTGGTGCTAAAAATGATGTACAACAATCTGTCCCTTCCAGGGATGCTGGATGAGTCACATAAAAAGTTAGCAGAAGGCCTTAGATGTTCAAGATTGAGAAAATCTAGAGCTGATGACAGTTTGCTGGAACAGAGCAAGTTGTAGAGGGTAAGCCACATCCATTGCAATTAGGAAGGTACAACAACCACTGATGGACGCTTCTTAGAGAACTCAGAAACCCCAATTTAATTGTTAAATGGGGGAGATGATGCCAGTTGGCATCACCCATGCCTTACCTTGGCATTCCAGCCCTTTTTTGAAGGAACAAAGACCACCCAGCCACAATTGTCCTATTGTAAAAGTTTCTGATTTGCTTCGCCTCAAAATATCTATATTCATATTTTGAAACAATTTATTCCCTGAAGTACAGTGCATGCAGAAAAGTGCACAAATAGTTGTATTAGATTCAACCTAGGGACTGTCTCAGGGCCAGCTTCAACGGCCCCTGGCTGCTTCTCCATGTGGCCACCATTATGGCTGTGGCTGATCAAAGCTGTTCAGTCCAACAGGGCTCCCCTGTGGACTCCCTGGATCCTCCTGCCACTAGGAGGACACCATGCCACACAGAGAGTGGTGTCCATATTCCCAAGAGGCTGTCTGTGGGGCCATGTGATTCACTTGAGAGGTGTGGGGAAGGCAGCTTTCCTCAGGGCAAACTTGGGCAAAATCGAGGAAGGGGCTTTCTTTTTCCTTCCTGGACTTCTTACTGTAAGGCATGATTCCCCCATGTATCTGTTTGGAGATGTTCCAAGTGATGGAGCTGAGTGACTAGTACTGTGTCAACTTGTATTATTCTCCACCTTTTTTAAGGCCTAATTTCCCTTTTCTCTCATTTTTACTGCCCTGAAACAGTAATTCACAAATAAAGCACTTAATTCCTCTCTTAGGTTGTTTCCCAGGGAATTCAGGCTCAGGCAGTACTCAGGTAACCACGACTTGGGTCAAGAAAGAGAACATTATTGGCCTTTCAGAGGACCTCCAATCTCCACCCTTTCCTATTGCTCTGAGGTAACCAGTATTCTGAATCTAACATCATAGATTATTTTACCTATTCCAGAAGATATTCTATATATGCAAATAATAAAACATGCACTCACCTTTGTATTTCTGGCTATATTTTACTCAACATTATGTTTGTGAGCTTTATCTGAGTTGTAGTTAAGTTACCTACTAGAAGTTGTCGTTAAGTTACTAGAAGAAGAATAGGGGGAAACAGACAGTAGTCTGGATGAAGATTGTTTGAATTATGTTTTAGTGTCAGATTTAAGAAATCTGCTTTATTTAAAGTTACAAAGATTGCCTTTCATGTTTTATTCTAAGACTTTCAATTTAACATTTTACATTTAGGTCTGTGGTCAATTTGAGTAATTTTTAAAATAATTATGGTGTGCAGTGTGGAAGTGTGGGTCAAAATTCCTTTTTTTTCCCTTCATCATTTGTAAGTTTTTCTTCATTGAATTGTACTTGCAATTAAAAAGGTTTAAAGAAACACAAACTATTTCAGGATTCTTTCTTCTATTCTGTCCCATAGATTTGTCTATTCTTTAACAAATACTATATTTTTGATTATGTTAGCTTAATGATATAATAAGCCTTGAAATCAGGTAAAGGAAGCCTTTAATTTCAGTCTCCTGTTTTGAAATTGTTTCGGCTATTCAGTCTACTTTATTTTCCATATACATTTTAGAATCAGATTATCAATTTCTAAAAAAAAATTCTGTAGTATTTTTAAAGAATTTCCATGGAATCTATAGATCATTTGGGGGGAGCACTGACATTAATGACATTGTCTTCCTGTTCATTGACATGGTATGTCTCTCTATTTACTGAGAATTTGTTTGTTACCATCCATTAAAACTTTCTATTTTAAAAGTCTAAATCTGTAATTTTTTTCCTTATTTTTACACCTATATTTTTCATGTTTTTACTACACATGTTATAATAGTTTTCTAAAGATTCTTTGGATTTTACTGTTCAGACAAGCATATCTTTTTATATCTTTGTTTATTAATTTTATTTTTTTATGTGATGCTGAGGATCAAACCAGTGCCTCACACATGCTAGGCAAGTGCTCTGCCACTGAGCTACAGCCCCAGCCCCAGACAAGCATATCTTTTTTAAACAGAGTATTTTATTTCTATATGTTATACACACAATATACTCTTCCACAATATTTTTTTGTTTATATTTTTTATTTCTATATGACAGTGGAATATATTATAATTCTTATTACACATATAGAGCACAAAATTTCATATTTCTGGTTGTATACAAAGTATATTCACACCAATTCGTGTCTTTATACATGTACTTTGGATAATAATGATCACCACATCATTTCTAACCCCATGCCCCCTTCCTTCCCCTCCAACTCCTTTGCCCTATCTAGAGTTCCTCTGTTCCTCCCATGCTCCCGCTCCCTATCCCACTATGAATCTGCCTCCTTATATTAGAGAAAACATTTGTTTTTTTGGGGATTGACTAACTTCACTTAGCATTATCATCTCTATCATTTACCTGCAAATGCTATGATTTTATTCTCTTTTATGGTTGAGTAATATTCCATTATGTATATATGCCACATTTTTTTATCCATTCATTTATTGAAGGGCATCTAGGATGATTCCACAGTTTAGCTATTGTTAATTGTGCTGCTATAAATATTGATGTGGCTGTGTCCCTGTAGTTTGCTGTTTTTAAGTCCTTTGGGTATAGACCAAGGAGAGGGATAGCTGGGTCAAATGGTGGTTCCATTCCCAATTTTCCAAGAAATTTCCATACTGCTTTCCATATTGGCTGCACCAGTTTTCAGTCCTACCAGCAGTGTATGAGTGTGCCTTTTTCCCCACATCCTCGCCAACACTTATTGTTGTTTGTCTTCATGATAGCTGCCATTCTGATTGGAGTGAGTCTTTTAAGCTTTAACTTTGATTTCTTGCCTTATTGTTCTAGCTAGAACCCCCAGTACAATGCTTATCGGAAGGTTTGAAAACAATATCCTCATCTCCTCATCTTGCTTCTAATCTTAGGGGAAAAATATTCAGACTTCTACCATAGTTTTTGTGGACATCCTTATTTAGGTGAGGAAATTCCTTTTTTTTTTTTTTACTTCTAGTTCTCTTGAAATTTTTCTTTTAAAGAAAATCACAAATGGACATTAAATTTTGTTCAGTGCTTTTTCTGAATCTACTGTGATGATATGAATTTTCTTCTTTATGTAGTGAGTTACATTGATTATTGAGTACTGAACCAATCTTGCCTTACTAGGATACAGTCCATTTGGTCA